GCAGTAATTCAAGATACCGAGGTAGTGTTTATCAGCTTCTGTTTCTGTATTTCATATTACAGCTAAATATATCAAGTTGTAAAGGTTTGTTTCTTCATTGCTTGTTTAAGCCAGATGCTGGATTTTTTCTCTTTTTTTAAAAATATATTAGAGCTTTTCAAAGGATGCTGGGGTTTGTTTTGTTTTGATTTGAGATTGGATCTTGCTTATATTGCCGGGGCTCCTCTTGAACTCCTGGCCTCAAGGGATCCTCCCACCTGAGCCTTGGGAGTAGCTGGAATTTGAGGTGTGAGCCACCATGCCCAACTCAGATGCTGTTTTTTATAATAGGAGATAGACCTGCCAAAGACCCTGAAAACCTGGGTCTTTAGGCCAGCACAGGCTCTTCCCAAAGGCACTCTGCCTGGGAAACCGGAGCATATTCAGGCAGTTCTGGGAGAGCCTGGAATCAGAGCCAGGGGAGGAGTATTTGTGCCAGTTACTAGTTTATTGACTGTCAACTCCAAATCCACCCTTCTTTGTCCTGCTTTGCAATCCTGGAGGCTGGACTATGTAAGCATTTCTCCTAGTGCACTGCTAGAGTTTATCAGTAGAGGGCACTCGAGAGACACGGCAGGTCAAAGCAGAGGAGGCATCTCTCCTTGTTTCTGGGGTGCCCTTTTCCTCCTACAGTGTAGGAGTCCCTGTGTTGCTCACTCAGGCAAATTCTCTCCATCCAGCAGGCTATAGCCACTCCTGCTGCAACAAGGTGTGAAGCTCAGCTTCAGCGGGTGAGGGCCTCTTTTTTGGCACTCTTCCTTGTCCCTAGAAGTAGCAGCGATTTCCTGTCCTCTTTGGGCACTTCCCCACATCCCTGGAGGTGGTAGCATTTGCTGTTCCTGTATTTGTTAGTTTAGTTTAGTAGTTTAGCTACCCTTTACTAGTTCATAATACTGTATTATAAATTTTCCTTATTCAAATCACTGGTGTGTTTTTTGTCTCTTGATTGGACTCTGACTGTTAGGGAATTGGTCCCAGGAATGGTCCCAGGAGACAGACCCTCAAAGATAGGATTGTGGGATTGGTTTGGTCATGACTTGGACCTGAGCTCTATGGCGAGCTCCTTGCCCATAGGAAATAGGGGGTTAGTATTGTCACCTGTGATTGACGGTGATGAAGCACCAATTGAAGCGGGTGCCTTGGGGGCCCCAGTGCTGCTGCCGGAGTGATGAGTACCAGCACTGTGGTGTGGGCTGGGTCTCCCTCAGGGCGCTGGGGCACTTACCAAGAGAAATGACAGTCTCAGCTCAAGCCACCATCTGAGAACCAGAGCACTCTTATTCTTACATGCTGTTGGTGAGAGTGTAACCTTTTACAGATTTCCTATTAAAATAAAAAGCATACATACGGAATTCTACTTCTAGGGATTTATCTCACAGAATATGCCTACAAATGAGCAGGTTTATGTACAGAAATGTTTGTTGCAGCTTTGTGTGCATTACTGAGATTGGAAACAACTGAAATGTCCTTCAGTAGAAAATTGGTCAGACAAATTGTGGTACATCCACTCAATGGAGTCCTATATGTCCACTGAAAGGAATGAAGTAGGTA